CATTTCGTGAAAAATTGAAAAAAATGTCACACAATATTGCTGCTACTTGACGAAATTCAATCGAACTCCTTCAATTCTAACACAAAATTTACATATTAACCTGATTCAATTCAACTTCTCGGAATTTATGCTGCATTGACAAAAAACAATATCTTTTATCACCTTAATCGCTTAACTTACCAATCCCTTTAATTTCCAAATTCAAACCTTTATTCATTCCCTTTTCCATTTCAAATAAAAAATTCAACATAAAAGTCAAAAGAAACTAAAATCAAAAGACATTTTATTGCTGCCTTTTTCTTCGCGCCTTTTTATCTCTACATAATGATCTATTGAGCCACTATACATAAAAAAAAGTTTCATTTGTCACCCTGAATTTTAAAAACTTTTAAACATTTATCGACATTTATTTGGCATATCTGTATTTATATGCCTTATTTATATAAAGAAGAAAATTAAAATTCGAGAATTTTTCTTAAATTGAAAATTGATAGCATCGACGTTTCTAAAAAATGTGATACCGTTTATGCAATATTTAACTCATATGCTTTATATGGACGAACACCGAGAATATACTCATTTATTTTCAATTACGATTCTCTGGGTTTTGTTTCTTTATTTTTGCCAAATCTTGTTGATTTGAAAATTTTAAAGGAAAAAAATAAGAAATAAAAATTTTTAAAGTCAAAAAAGAGAGAAGTAAGGAGAGTATAAGAGGAAGTGGTGATGAATTTCTATAGTATTTGTGGTCAGCAAAGCATTTTTGGTCAATTTTTGATGAAAGTCCAAGAAAAAATTCAATTTAAAATTTTAACGGGTTTTTCATATTTAAAAAAGATTGATAAGCTGAAGCCTAAGTTGAAATCCTTCGTTACGCAAAAAACCGACTTTTTTACCCCCCTCCCCCCTCCTTGTTACAACATGTTACAACTCACAACCCCCCTCCCTGAACGTTCATAATTCAAATTTTTTTCGTGAACTTTTTTTTTAAAAGACAGACGACAGTTAGAACGTTACATTCTTCTTGACACACCTCCCCCCTTTCCTATGTTACATTTTGTTACAATTTTTCAAACCTCCCCTCCTCCCTAAAATGCGAACGTAATGAGTGGCGTAATAACGGCCCCTTAGTCGACGGCTTAAATTTTGTAAGTTTTTCGTAGACAAAAAAAAACACATTTTTCCAGAATTTTAATAAAAACCACACTTATAATAATCATCAATCTGCAAAAATCGTCAACCAACCAAAGTGCAGGGCCCAACAAACATTAAACAACTCAAATGAAGCTCTCAAAAATTGTATCAGCAAAGATTTTTGTGAATGAAGTTCACAACATACACACTTACTGCCTCAAGGGAGCCTTTTTGCAGTCATTAAGCAATGCAGAATAAAAACAAGAGTAAAATACGAATGACATGCAAAAAAGAAGCTCGCAAGCATGCAAAATTCTGAGAATCTCTCACTGATTTGCAACTGTCACAATTTTTTAAGCAGCAACTTAAGAAAGCAGAAGAAGTAGAAAGACATGAAACAACAAAAAAATTCGGAAGAATTCATACAATGAAGACAATCTCACGAACCATGAGTGTTTGTCGTCTGCTTCTGCTTAATTCCAGTAGAGAAAATATCACAAGACAGAACAAGCAACACAGAAAAAAAATGTGTGAAAAAATACTTAAAGCGGAAGAATAATTTCCAGAAAATTGCGATTTTACAGTGAAATGATTATGAGGCAAAAATATATTTAAATAAAGCATATATTGCGAGATATAATTTTTTTTCTGTGTTTCTCTCTCTGCCCCGCGTTAATGATCCAATCATCAAAGCAATTGAAAAACAAATTGCTGACGCTTAATTGCAAGCATGAATGGACTTTATGCTAGAGTTGTTCACTTACTTTATAGTTTTTTATATTTCCTTAATGATGTTATTGTCTATTCAATACTTGCCAGGTACTGTAAATTGGAGCTTACTATTCGTTCATTCTCAGCTTTGATTACGAGTGTTTACATTTAAATGTTTTAATTGAGATATTAAAATCAGCGTTGTCATGCAGGTTTTATTTATTTTTTGTTGCTTGGATACTTGTGGGGAGATTATGCTTGGTTTTGGGTTTGTCGGTGTGGATATTGAACTTTTTAAAATGAATTTTAATGATTTTTAACTTGATTGAATTTTATGAAACTGAAAATATTACTTAATAGTGTTTGATATCTAATCTTTTTAATTAATAAGTAAACCTTATGATAAGTGATTCGTGAGGTTTGATGAGATCTTGTAAGGTTGGCAAGTCTGGTTTGGTCTCACCAACCTTACCAGATCTCACAAAATTCTACCAAATTAATGTTTGTACTAATCCATTTCGTTGTGGCTGAAAAGTAAGAATTCGAATTAATTCAGAGACTAGAGAGCAGTTTTCAGCAAACCTAATACTCAAAAATATTAAGCAGGTCTGTACAAAATCATCATTTAGCTTTAAAATAATTCCTCAAAGTTATTTGCAGAAAAAATTGATTTTTTTGGCATCCTTAAAATATTTTCATACATCATTAATATTTAAATCCGTCATTTCTTCCTTCCTTCCATCATTATCATCCTCATCAGCAATTAATGAATATATTCACAAGACAGAAATAAGTCAAAAGAAGAAAAAACGCATATTATAAATTTTAAATGATCCTTATTGTCTTTTGTTTATTCATATTTTCCCGCGAATTCACATGAAAACAAAAAATTACACGAGGCTGAAAGATAAGAGAACGCAAAAGAAATCCTCCAATTTATCATCATTCAGCATGGCAAGCATTTATGAAAATGATGGAAAAATTGGAAATGAAGATTGCTATTTATTTTAATATTTTTCGAAGAAAATTTTAATGAATCTTTTAGAGGATGTATTAAAAGCAGTAAAGCTGAATGGGGAAAATTGATCTGAGACACGAGCTTACGTGGTAAAATAATTATTGGAATTATGGTGGAAGATTTTTAATAGCTTCAAAAAATAAATTTATAAAAAAATTATCATCAATCCTATCTTTAATAATCGCTTATGCTACCCATTAAAGTTTCATTTGTTTATTGATTAAATTACAAGCTACAGAGAGAGACACAGCCAGAGTCAGGAATATGACAAATTTCATTTATTTAACATGATTTTGAACTTTAAGATGTCTTAATAAAAAGAAGAAAATCATGTGAGGCAGAACGAGATGGAAGAGCATCAATACAATCAAAAAACTTCGTCTCGCTCATCCACTCCCATTTTTTTCAGTTCCATTCTACATACATACATTGGATTATTCTTTATATACTTTTTCCTCATTTCTTTTATTTCCATTCTCAGCTTGTGTTGGTGCCCTAAAGAACATTCTTCTTGTTCTGTGTGAGCCTCTGTTTACAAATTATTACGCCGACCTTTTTTTATTCCTCTTGTTCCTCACTACGCGATGAATTTTTCATTTACTGACTTTTTAAAGTTTTGCAAAACAACAAAACAAAAATAAAAAGTCCTCGTCGTCATCATCATTCATTGCATCACATGTGAAGTAGTTTCCACTTAACACCATTTAAGATTATGACAAAAGGCAATAGGAAAAGGCACAGAAGTGAATAACAAAAAAAAAAGTAGTTAAGCCTTATTCGGCTTCTGATATAAAAGAATGGGTAAGAGAATGAGAAATGTCACTTTTGCTTTCCTTCTTCTCTTTTACATATATTTTATATGGATTGTTGGTTGTGGAGCTTGTTTGTGTCCGTTTAGGATGAATCTGATTTTTTTGAATTTTTGGGATTGTCAAAAATTATTAAAATTTGGAGATGCCGCATTTTTTAACCGCATTTTTGAAACTTGTTTCGAAAAGGTAGCTTAATAATTCACTTTGTTCGTTCGTTCGGGCGGAGAAAAACTTTTTAACTAGACATCGTATAGAGTTCTAGTTTGTTTTATTGGCTCAGGTCCATTGTTTTATTTTCGGGAATCGCATTTAAAAGTCTTGAAACAGTGTTTTTGTACTATAATAAATGATTTTTATATTTCATATGAAAAAACACGTGATGAGAGCGTTTAGAAATTCGAATTTATTTCGACCGTTAAAAATTTTTGAATCTCAAAAAACCGTTGAATGATAAACAATTTATATATGAGAATTTCAATTATTAAATTGTTAAATATTCTATAATTAATGATTTTTTTGTGTATCTTTTGGCGGGAAGCTTTAAAAAACTTACTGCAACTTTTAGCTTGAAAATGTCAAATTATTTATTGACCGTTAAATAATAAAGCCTTTCCATATAAGCATTCATTATAATTATTTGCTATTTACAAATCCCTCGATCAATAACACGAGGACTTCTCTAATTTTTTTAACTGTGAAGTGTTGGGCGTTTACGAAACTTTTGAATCTAAAAGCGTTAGGTAATAAGTGAACGGCTCCAAGTTATAAAACTTTATTCAGGGTATATCTCTCTACTCATCAATGGGCTTACACATCGTTGTCTAAACTGTGTTCCGCAGAAAAATTCAGAAAATACCACAAACCGCATGCTGTACACTTAAATATTTGGATAACACTGAGCTATAATGAGCTGAAGTTGCTCCGTAGCAGAATAGTTTAGTAATTCGGTACCTAGTTATTGTAATACCGATATAGCGATCATGGGATCGAGACTGGGTGCTATCATAATGGCAGCAATGAGCACAATGAACTGTGCTCACATCACTATAAATCTAATCACAGTTGAAATTTTCTTGAATATAATTTAAATTTTGACTTTTGTGTGCTGAACAACAGAGCTCGAAGTCGATGAAATTTTGTATTGAGTCGACTGCGCCATACAAAATCGATGAAGATCTCGAGTTGACTTTGAGCTCTGCTGAAAAGTCTAAATTTCCTTAAAAATTCTCCTTAAAAAAAGAAATCCAGACTGTCTCAATTTTCACCCGAACTTTCTCATTATTCCACAATAATCTCTTAACATTCAGTTAGTAAACAGCAAGTAACTGCAATAGCCGGAGCAAAAATGAACAAACTAGTGCATATACATATAGTTCAAACATAAAACGACAGTAAAGCCTTTCATGTCACACATATTAAAAGTGTTTGAATTAACTAAGAGGTAAGTAACATTCATGAATGCATGCATGAAGTAAATTAATGTAGGCTGCTGAGCGCACATTCGTGAGAACGATTTATTAATTGACTTTTCGGCCATAAATTAAGCGATTTTTCAATAAATAGAAGAGAAGAAAAAAAAATTGTTTTGTGTTGTACGCTGAATGCATAAACATATTACCTGTCAATTTGACGATATGTTTACATTATATTGAATTTATTTAGGGGCTATATATTCGTTATAATGAGGACATGAATATTTTTTTTTCTTCGTCGTAATAGATAAATAAAAAAATAACTGAGGATCCTTGAAGGTACTGAAAAGACTTTACTTAACAATAGAATTGAATGAGAATATCATTGGAAATAATGATAAAGACTGAAAAAAAAATTTAAAATTGAAATTTCTGACTTTTTCGTTTTGCATAAACTTTTTTTTCATGCATATATATAAATATTTCCATCATTGACTGACCACTACACTACTTATTCATTTACCTTGTATGCCTTTAATATCAAATCAATGTTGAAATTCAGTTAACATAAGATGTCAGTTTTAAAATGAAATTTATGTTTTTCCAATGAGCCTTTGTGCTTCTACATGCTGAAATGTATGCAACTTATTGAATTTACTTATAACTCAAACAGAAGGAAAGGGGGAAATGTTGCCGAGTGTCTGTTAAGGCGCATAATCTGAATGGAAGCACAAGTAACATATTTGAGGTTCAAAAGTCAAGGGACTATAGCAGTGTTGTCCACACTGTGTGCCGCGGCACATTAGTGTGTTGTAGAATTTTTTTGGGAGTGACACGAGCCGCAAACTGAGTACAACATAGATCGAGACTTACCTTTAAGGTGTGCCGTGGCTCAAAAAGTTTGGACATCACTAGTCTATGGACTGAATTTTTTTTTTGAGGTTCAGCTAGTGGACATGGTACTTATTCGACTTAATGGAAGTTCCGAATTTTTTTAGTTTTGAAATTTCAATATTTATGGGAGAAGGAGAACTCTTTGGCCTTGCCTCTACATTGACCATCTCTCAAGAATCAATAAATTGAAGATTGCAATTGACCTCCAGCCAGACAGACAATCAATGCACCAAAAACATTTAAAGAACACGCTAAAAGTATAAAGAAGCAAACGGAATAATCTTAAGGAGCTTTTATGTATGAAATTCTATATAAAAATGCATTCTTTCATGATATCTCGTTCTCTACTCTTTGAGGTAGTTTTGTTGCAAATTTAAAGAAGAGAAAAAAAAAATCGTGGTATAAATTTATAAAACATAAATTTTCAATTCAATTCGTAAAACATTTTTCGTTCTTTCATTTTTCCCCCCTCAGCTTGTGTGCCCCATGTTTTTTATAAATTCAACTCAAAAAAGTATATACGTATGAAAAAAAATCTTGCTCTCTGCTCGGTAAACATCTAAAACAACAAATGTATATGAAAAAAAAGAACTGTTTCATTACATGGAAGGAATAGCACAGAAAATGAAAGAATAAAATTTATGGATGCCTGTAATGGCAGACTAATGCATCATTCAATTCAGGAAAAAAAATATCGAATAAAATAAATAAAAAATTTGCTGAAACTCTGTTTTATTTATTTTAGGAAATTGTTTTGAGCGCATTTTTTTTGGTGGGAACCGGATGTGATTGGCAAATTTTGTGGACTGATTCATGGATGCTTGTTGATATCTGACTTAATTAATATTTGGATGACAGTTGAGGTATGAATAAGACATTAGAAGCCACTGTTCTAAATACAAATGTTAAGTTCGAGGTTGGGTGCTAATACTCTGACTCTATTGAGTGGTTATATACCTAATTTCGATTGAATCTAAGGTTTATAGTGGGAGTCGTACTTTTATTTAATTAACAGAGGGAGGGGGGGGGGGGGGTGTCAAGAAGAGTTTAAGGGCAATTGTGAATTTTAATTGCTTAAAGCTGTTTAACCTCCAAGAATCCCCTTGAACCTCCATGGCTAGATAAGTTATAAAACAATTCATATTAATCCAAATTTCAAGCCACTAATCAATATTCGACTGAATCCTTCCATTAAATGATGTTAACCATATCCAAAAAACCCTATAAGTATCCAATACCCAAAATGCAATTCCATCCGCACACACAATCCCTAACAAACTTGCTGAAAACCGAGAATAAATATGTATCGATTGAATCTCGAGAAAGATGAATGCTTCAAAGCTTCTTGAATTTCAAAAAACAGCACAAAAAAAAAGAGAAGAAGAGAGGAATAAAAAAAAATTGTTGGATGAAATGGATTCATGATTCATCATGAGTTATTGAATTATCGTGCATTGTGATTATACAATACAGTCGAGGAAAATGTAGATAGATAAGTAAAGTGGATGGATGAAAGGAAGAAATATTGAATTTTAATGCAAGAAAAAAATATGGAAGTAAGTTGAGAATTGGATGAAAAAAATTGTTGGTGCTTTTTGGGTCAAAATTGGATGGAAAAGACATTGCTCTGAAGAATGGGTAATATCCTGTTGGCTATAGATGCTTTTGTATAATTTTTTTGATGGTTCTTTGGAAAATTTCTTTTGTTTTTGGATTGGACATGCTTTGTGATTTATTTCTGTACTTGAGACGTAAAGTTTTTGTTTATTCTTGAAAATTGAGCATGAGTTTTCATGATTTTGACTAGACATGTTGTTGATTTGTGCAATTTTAAGCCTTAAAAAGTAAATTGTCTTGTTTAATAAGTTCAAATTAATCCTTTGATTCATAAAGGTTTAAAAGAGTGATCAGGGATTGGGTCAAGCGGTTGCAACTGATCGAAATTATCCAATACACTTCCTTAATTTGAAGAGTTTTACGCTACTAGAAAAATTCTGATCATATAAAATTCAATTTAAGTCTAGGATTCAATGTATGATCAAAAATTATCCAAAAGCTGGTTGATTACCTCCTCATCCTTTGAGTGACTTAAGGAGTTGTATTGTGCTTTTATCGGAGGCTTCATGAGGCAACCTTTTCTATAATCGAAGATCAAGGAACCAAATTTTGTGATTTAAATATTATTTTTATATTCACACCGTTTTCACGTGTGAATCTATTGGTTTTGTTCAGATTGAAAAATCAGTTTTTCGCATTTTGTGAGAAAACAAAGCAAAATTGGTTATAAAAGGGCAAGAAGAAAAGTTTGTGCCTGAAATTTTACATCATTTTCAAAAAACAGATTTCAAATTGGTTGTGGCATTGCTGAGAAAATCGCAAAATACGCTTTCTGTAAGCAAACAAGCAAGCAAGCAAGCAAGCAAGTTAATCAGCAAGAAATCTCAATAACGAGACATGGTAGAGACTTCTAGTTTTTTACATTTGATCCGTGCTGCTCTATAGAAGAGCTGTATTGTTTTTGGGCAAGGTAGGAACAGCCGTTGCTTCAGAAATGGCAAAAAACTTTCCTTTCTTACGAATTTTTTAAAACAAAAGTTGACTGTGATTTTTATAAAATTCAACTTTGGACGAAAATTTTTTTTAAAAAACTTTTAAAGAATATTTGGCATATTCGTCAAGCTTTATACCTTCAAACTTATGCTGAGCGTAGCTCAGCTGACTCGATAGCTTTATATCTTCAAACTTATGCTGAGCGAAGCTTAGTTGACTTATCAAGCTTCATACCTTCATACTTATGATGGGCAAATCTTGGTCTATCCATAAGACTTATGATAGTACGGTGTGAATATAATCCGCATTGGGTTTCTACCCGATACACTAGTTTCTAATAAAGGTTGATGTTCATGGGAGTTCTAGAAGCCAGACTAGAAAATAACTAATTTGAATGCTTATGCATTATCATATCTTCCAAATTCTGAACCAACAAAAATCAGCTTCCAAAAATCATTTAATTACTAGTTTAATAGCCGGTTGATTTACATTAAAAAAATTAAAGCTCAAAAAATCGATTAAACTGAGCCAAAAATTCACAACAAAAATTCCTTTTCAGCAACAACAAAAAACATCAAAATTCAGCCCTTTCTGTCCTTCAAAAATCTGCTAAGAATGAGAAACCAAAAAAAAAAGAAAATTTTCTCTCAAGACACCACAAAGCAAAAAGTCTGACGCGCCATCAAAGCAGAAATTAAAATTCCAAAAATATGTTTTTTTCTAGGAACATAAAAGCCCACTGTAACTTGATGTTTGATGTTCAAAACAGTAGCTGAACAAAGCATAATGAGTAAATAAATCGGAATCCACATATATTAGAGAAGAATCAACAGCGGTAGAACATCATAAAAGGAAGATATCATAATTCCATCAAATATTTACCCTTTAATGTTATTAAAGCCATAGTAACATGAAAAAAAAATACAGCACAAATTAAAGTTGATGAAAAAGGATGAAAAAGTTTAAAAATATATCCACAAATACAGATAAATTCGTGTAAATACGAAAAATCCAGTATATAAGGAACTAACACAAATCCACAACGAATACAATTTTATCGTATTTTACACAGTCACAGACACAAGAAAAATTAAGTATATACATCCAACAACGTATCTACATTGTGCAAAGAGGAAAAAAAAAACATTTATTCACAATTCCATTGTGTGTGCATGTAGAAGAGATATAACAAAAAAATGAGAAAAATAAATAGGTGTTGAAAAATAATAATAAAAAAATCTGGGAATTCTTATTTTATTTTTTTATTTTTTTGTTATATTTCACTTCTCTCCCTTTTGTGCCCGTATTGTATTGTTGTATTTACGGGGGCATCGAGAGCTGATTCAGACTGTCGAGTGTAGAGATATACATAAAAACTTAGAGTGTGCTCGCTTCTTTTTTTTTTCTCCATACTTCTCTTCAATATCCGACACGCCGAAAAAAAGAAGTAATAATAATACACAAAAAAAAAGTTATGTGAGTTGTGCTGTGTGTTTCCGAAATATAAAAAAAAATAGTTGAAATTTTGCTGTCGATATGATTTGATTTTTCTCGCCTTCACTTATCAGACGTGCCGCGACGTGAAAGACAAAAAAAAAAGATAATTTTTTGATATTATTGGAAATTGATTCATTAAAGAAGAAGAAGAAGTAATAAGGTAGACACACAGTCAGTGTTGATAGTGAAAATTACACTGTGTACATAATTAAATAAATTTTGATATCAAATACCAACAAAAAGTCATCAGCTGAGTTTTATGCTGTACATAATTGCTGAGGCTATATTTTGTAAACAACAATTAAGGAAGTTGTGAAAAACAAGAGGAAAAACTTTTTTTTTTTGGGGAAATAAGGAAGTAAGTCACCAATGCTGCAATGTGGATTGTTGTTGTTCTTTAATTATTTTGTGTACATGAATTTTTTGGATGGTGTAAAGTTACAAGAATGCTGCACATTTCACTCGAATAAGTTGACACATTTTACGGAAGTTGCTGGATATGCTCATAACCTAGTGGATTAATTTTTTAAAAATGACATTGAAACCTTAAAAAAAACTTTGAGAAAGTAAATGAAAGGTCATTGACAAATCATGTCACATATGTCAAGTTGCATTCATTTTAACATCTTTAAATCTCTTCCCATGAATGGCTACAAACAATTGATGAGAGCTAACTCTTCTAGACTTTTAGTTTATGAATATTAATGTGCGCCACAATGATCTCGTGTGTTACAATGTGTACATTCATAATTTCGAATATATTATTGTGATGATGGAGGAAAATATTGTGAATTAATGAAGCAAAATGAAATTGAATGTATGAAGAGATGGGAGAAGGTTGACTTTTTACAGTTGGTTCTCAGGTGGATAGACTGAATTGGTTTTGGGAAAATTGTTGATTTTAAGGTTTTCAGTGCTTTAGAATGTTAAGTTGAAATCAATTGATTTTTTTCGGATCTTATAAATTTAAATATAACGTGAATTCATCTAAATGTGTGATTTAGATTGGAATTAATATTAAGCTCAGATCTAGATAGAGTTGGATATAACAATTCAGATTTTAGTTGATTTTTGATTAGTAGAGCAAGACTGAAGATGAAAATTTCAAAAAGCTAGAGCCAACTTATAATTAAGGTTAAATTTTTTTAAACCTTTAATTTAAAAATTTATTAAAAAACTCATTTAAAAAAGTTAAAATAAATAGAAAGATAATTAGAAAAATTGAATTCAGATTTTCTTGACTA